GGGGAACGTGGCCTGGGAAGGAAGAAGAAAGAGAAAGGAGAGAAAAGAAAGTAAATAAGATAATTTTACCCATTAAAAAACATTAGTATTTTTTACTTTTGTTAAATTATATATTTTTCATTGTTTATAATCATTTTAGCCTTTAAAAAAGGGAGACGATTTTCCCACTCTCATTTCTCTCCATTTACATTCCCTTTAATTTTTTTAAATACTTTTTAATCAATTTTATTCTTTTTATTCTTTTTATTTCCTATTCTATCCTTAGCCTACAATTCCATTTAATAAGAAGACATGTACAATCACTTACTAATATTATGAAAGCATAAAAATCGGAGACTATTATGCATACCTTGCTCTCTGCATATCTAAGCTCCTAATGAAAGTTTGGTTAGTAGCATTCTTTGGTTCTTCTACCTGTAAACATGTTTGCCCAAAAAATTTATTATCTATTACTACAACAAAGATAAATAGTGCTCACATACTTGGTAAACAAACAAAGAATTTGGCATACAAATACTTACATTTCTATCCATTTCCAATATTTATTTTTGTTTTATTTTATGTTAACTTTTCTTAATTTCAGTTATCAAAACCTTAAGGGTAGAATTGGAAAGAGAAAGAACAAAAAAGAACAATATTGATTAAAAAGTATTAAAAAGCAAAAAGAAGTGTAAGTGGAGAAAAAAAGAGTGGGAAATCAGCTCCCTTAAGCTACCAAACGCATTGTCAAATTCTGAAAATGCAAATATGTTTTCTAGTTTTCATTCTTTAAAAATATTCTTAGAAAACATTCTCTGAAAACATTACCAGACAGGCCCTTAGTAATTTTGGAAGTTGCAATTGTTTAAAAACTTATATAAAAATAAAAACTTACAAAAAGAAAAGGAAACCCAGCAAGCATATACATATACACAAATATTTTATTTATTGATTTTTAACTAATTTATAAAACTAAGAATTGTTTGGATTTAAAAAAAATAAAAATATATTTATAACTGATTTTTATTATATTTTAATTACTAAAATGTCCATGACATGTCAGCAAGATAATGATTTTATTGAAAATATTGACGGAATTAGATAATATGGGACACAAAAATATATAGGTGTATTAATGATCATTTTAGTGTTTATTGAAAAATACATTTGTATAGATGTTT